AGCCTTGGCTACAAAAAAAAAAAATAAAAAAAAATTGGGACCAAACTTGTGTAAATCAGTCCCGAGATATTGCTATTGTAACATATGCCATAATACCCATACCTTAAATCAGTGTTGGAAAATTGGACAAAAAACTGCGTCACGTTTAGTTTTGGACATATGTCCAATTGGTTTTAGACATATGTCCAATTAATTTTGAAAACAATTGGACATAGTAATCTTTCCAACGCTGCCTTATAATTTTAACCAAAGGTTAAAATTAGTTAAATTCCCTATACTGTATTTATAATAATTTTTAATTTTATTTAAAAAATTATAAATACTTTTAAATTTTTTAAACAAATTTGTCTGAAATACAAATTAAGAGATAACAATTACTAAATATCGCAAAAATGATTAAATATTGATATCTCTAAATAAACAGTGTCTCAAAACTCCTTATTGCTATGTACTAGCCCATCTCTAATATCATAAATTAACTAATCTTTCAATTTCAAAAAGTTTTGAATACTATGGCTTAACGCGTCAATTTCTGCTTGGTAAGCCTTGAGCTATAAAAATATGTCACGTTAATTAAAGGCAAACAAGATATTAACAAAATTATTAACTACCCTCCCTACCTTGGCTTCATTGGCATCGCGAACATCTCTTGGGACTTTGGACTCATAATCCGGAATTTGTATTTTTTTCTGAAGCAATGCTAATGCTTGAGTAGTCTTATCAAGTTTACTTTGGAATTTTGCAACCTCCGCGTCAATATCTACGAATCCCTACAATGATATTCTATCATTAAAATTTTATTTGATAATTGTAAATTATTAAATATTAAGCGTACCTTAACCAAAAGCAATAAATTTATTTCATCAGTAACTGTACTTAAGGCGCAGCCAGCAGGAATAGATTCATCATGTTGAACAACATGAACAGATTTTGCTCCTTTAACCAGAGTGACAATGCTTTGCTCTTGAGCGGTGAACAGCGTTGCAAGTGAATCGGAAGCAACTTGTATAAAAACTACGAATAGAGCAATATTAATTTTCAAAAGAGAAAAAACAGACAAATATATGTGACACGCTTACGTGAGGCGTTAGATCGAATATTATATTCAACAATAAGTGATCGAGCAGCTTTGACAACGGAAAATACAAGATCAAATTGTTCTTCAGCGTGTGGATTGTGGTATTCTGATACCTACCAAGATTGCTTTTAATATATTTTTGCATAAGCGGGCAAACAATTCACTACAAAGATAGAAATACCTCAAGCGGATATTTGGCTTTGACGATTGTTGGATTATCGTCATTCGGACGTCGAGGCAATCGTTGATATAATTCTTCTGTCACAAAAGGCATAAATGGATGAA